TAATTTCACTTTTACCTATAAAGAATGTATACATGTACTAGCATTCGTGGAAAAGTGAGACTGAGATCAAGAGTGGGCCCATCTAGGTTTTATGGCCACAGAGCCTACATGCTGCAATTTCAAAAATATATGACACCTACATTATTATCTTTTTCATACATTCACATATTTATGGCAAAGATTCTTTTGTTAACATTTCTATATTTGTTTAACAGAGCATTGTCAAACACTCTAAATCCGTCGTTATACCCTATAACTCCCATCAATTTCCGGAAACTCCATGCAGTTTGTAATTGAGAGCACTTGTGACGAAAAATTCATGCATGCATGCTGAAAATCTCTATTCTCATTCATTTAGCTATAAAGCAATCAAGTTAAAAAAACAAATTTACACTATTTTAATTATAAGTATCATATTGATATCAGTAAGCATCTTTCTCCTTATGTGCTATTCCACCGTATACGACGGGTAACGCGGGGGAGTCGCTAAAAAAAGTATGGGGAATCGATTTTCAACGGAGTCAGAAGTGATGTGGGTCACGTCTTTTTTTGGTATATGTAAGATCTATTATACAAAAACAACTAACCCACGGAAGGTAGCAATAGTTAAACTTTCTGTTGGTCATCTGTCCGGCTAGCATATACGTCTAGTTTTCTCAAATACTTCGAAACTATTCGACAGATTTCATATTTACGTTGATCAAGTGGTTAAGACATGCATAGTTTGCACAATCTACGACTTGTTTAGGGATTATAACAGTTAAAACAGCAAAAGCAAACGTTAACCTTTCAAATGCAACAATTGAAATTTGGCTAGACTTTATAAAAATTATTAATTAAAACATTTTTCTCTTCAGAAAGAAATTGTTACGTATAAAATCATGATAAAATTTCATAGAACGTCAAGAATGAAATAAAAATTTCAAATTTTATTTAACAATTGTGTCCCAACACATACCTGAATAAACGAGATTTTTAGATTTCTCACGTTCATATGAAAAGAGTTTTTTCTCAGTCACACTTAGGTCGCAAAAACGTCGTGTTGCGCCCCCTGGACATACCATTGCTAACAAAATCATTACTAATTTATTAAAAAAAAATAATTTTATGATATATTGTTAATGTTGTCGATAGAAAAGATGATGCTTAATAGAAATTTAAAAATTTATTGATGTACCTAAAGCGGTTTTAATTTTATGGTGTTAGTCCACGAACTTTTTGATAACCCCTCGTAATATCAATCGTTGACACTCTGAGATCAGTTAATTTAATTGATTACTTGTTTGAAGACTTTTAAAAAAATAGAATTGCAACTTGGGCAGACGTCGCGCACGATGTTGGTGACATTTTGGTAACGTCAAAATGCCATTATTTTACATGATGTTCTAGAAAAATTAATTTGATATTACCTTTTTGCCTACATTTTTATGAGGGAAAAAATAAACCCAGTAATACCGCCAATTATATAATGCATTTCATTGAAAATACATGCATGTAATTAAATTCTCTGCCGTTTTGCAAGGATATTGCGTAATCTAGGAAATATAGGCATAATTTGCTTCATTTAATAAAAAGCTTGGTAAGAATAATAAAATTTGTTCGAAATTGCATTTTTTTAATAAACTATAAACATAAGTTGCTTCATTTAATAAAAAAGCTACGTAGGAATAATAAAACTTGTTCGCCATAGATTGTCCAAAGACAGAAGAATCAAACTTCTAAATGAAGCACAGAAATATAATAAAAATTTTTATAGCTTTGATAGTTCTCAAAAATAATTTTGGATCATTACATGTGAAAATATGAATGTCTTACTTCAACTTGGAGAGTAACTTAGGTTATCATTCGTAAACTATAGTTTACAACCGTTAAATATACAGATGAAAACTATACCTAACGATTCGTTAACTAAAGTTTATGGACTGTAAACTATAGTTTACAGTCGATAAACCTATTTTATCAATTGTGAAACTAGGTTTATCTCATTTTTGTAAATTTGGCGTGCCATATATACCTACATGTAGTCCATCTATGTGACATTTCAATTATTATCAAAATTTGAGATACTGCAAGTTAAATTTCTGTCTAGAGATCTTTTTCGTAATAACATGACAACATTCTGTAAAATTTAAAATAAATTACGACTTGTATTTTTTACCCAGCATAACAAAATTGGCCATTTTACGAATCTTAAAATCTTTGTGACATTGAACCTCCAAAGTTTGTGACACACAATCTTATTCAATATACTCAAAATAAATCGGCTAAATAGCAGAAACCCAACATACATATCCACACAAAAGATCAGTCTAATTAAAATATACTTCCTCGCACTAAAAAAGGATCATTGAGATGAAATTTCAAAATTGATATAGCTCATGCAATTATTTTTTCTAAGTAACCGAAGACTTGATTTTTATGTGTATCCCATATTTCATCGATTTATGTGCGTCTACATCTCTGTCTTGGATTTTGAGTAACGCGTTTAGAGCATACGGATTGAATGAAATCACAATTGTTAGAATTTACATCATTTACATTAAATTTTGAATTTTTCTGCCAAATTTTATGCTTATATCGTGTCTTTTATGGAAGTTATCAATATTTTGTTATTGCATGTGCGACGCTCCTGTTACCCGTCTACATGCCTTTTTTGACGTAATTTACTCAATAAACGAATTAATATATTGGATAAATAGAATAAATAACAATATTTTTGTTAAAATGTATTAAGTATACAATTACCCACCGAATGATATATAGTTTTTATATGGTGAATTGTTTTAAAATTATGAAAATACGGCATATGCCGTCGCAATAGCAATTTTTTACCTTTTGACACCAACATCGTGCGCGACGTCGCAGCATTATCCTTTGGATATGTGTAATTTTAAATTATAATACACATTCTGTGCAAATGAGACTAATGGCAAAGTTGCTGCTCAATGTAACACTGTCGTTGAAAACTGTTTTGTATATCAATAATAATAGAAATGTGCAAAAATGTGAGATCCCATCGTTGCAAACCACGGCCAAAATGTACACTTCTTTCCCATTCTGGCCGTGGTTGAACGAGGAGAGAATTCTTCGTAGCTCATTGAAATATTGACCAATGCGAGTAACGCATAGTCGGATGATGAACTTTATTGCAACCTTTCAATATCCAATCGCAATATAGGAAATATTTTTGTATACTGTTGATGCCAGTTGTTGATTTCGATTTCGATGGAAACAAAACTTGCCACTGACTGAATATGATCACAATAGAAAGGCGTAAATATTCCAGATTACGACACTTTTTGTGATCAAGCAGCCACGGGTAGGAGAGAGTTAATGCAAACTCAGGGCCGTTGCTTGAGACAATGGTTGGACCCCGTCCCTAAGCTAGGTCGATCGGTTTTATTTAGTCCTTTCATGTTATTTGATATACCAAAACATGCTCTTAAGACATTGCTAATAATTACAAAACATAAATGTAATAAAATTCCGGTTTTTATTTTGCGCCCAACTCTCATAGGTTACCCCCATCTTCTTCATAGTAGAAATATTCGAAAGCAAAACATACACACAGTATATTGTCACTCCATGCAGTTGTGGTGAGCAGACTTTAACAATAGAACACATCCGGCGAATCGTAAACCTTAACAATAACATGCCCTGTTTACAAAAACTGTGTAAGTTTCACGGGTGTGTTCAATTTGCTACACTCTGTACATAACACTTAGGGCGGAATGACGATACTTGTGAAGGGAGTTTTGTTTTATAAAGAAAAATTGATAAAATATTAACTTCAAATCTGTGTTTTTGCACATCATTCTATTGACATCTTTTTAATAAAACTGACATCAACATGATCAAGCAAGCATATAATTATTTCATAAAATATCATAAATGAATTATTCAACCAAAACTTCATTTGAGTAATATACTGGTAAAAGGAATAAAATACTGATTAAGAAACAAAATGTGCAAAATCATTTCCGTTTATGCACGTATTCACTCTTTATTGAAAGTGAGAAAGGTCGAACGATATCGAACCCGACGTTAAAATGAAAGAAAATCGAGGTGATTGGATGGAAATTGGAATAATTATACTTAGCATTCGCTAATACAATGAAATTATGTATATATTTATATAATGAAAGTTTGTTTTGCTAAAAACTTACTAAGAAATGTCAATTAATGACCAAGTTTATTTTTTTCAATATATAAAGTAAAACTGGTGTGTTCCAGTGTGTCGAGTTTTACTTAAACTTTTAAAAAATGTGTGTGGTGATCAATATATTTCAGTGTTTTCTATTGCAGAACCGCAAAACTTTTCGTATTTATTTCCAAAATTTTTCTCATTGATTTTTTTTCCTTTAATTTTTACATAGTTCTACTCATAGCATGCTGAACACATGTTTAAATTGAAAAAAGCACCCCAGCTCTGACTTAGCTATAGATGTCTATAATCAGTCAAATATTCAAATATGAAAGAAATGAAAGACAGTCAGACAATGAAATATGTTAGGAGTTAAATCCAATAATTGCCATTTTGCGATTTTCAATATGTGATTAATATAGTATAAAAATATGCAATTCCATATAAATTTAATACTCTGTTGCATTTCATAAATTGGTGGACATCGAGGTTCAAACACTCTGTTGGAAAGGGGGTCCTTTTTTTCAACGGGGGTCAATTTTTTATTGGACGCACAAATAAAAAAATACCGCTAGTCCTGGGACTACAGAATGACCCCTAGTCATCATTTGATGGGGAGGGGGTCATTATTCGTCTTTACATCGGCATAAATACGGACTTTCTGTACTATTAGCCTTAATACTATTATTGTTTTATTCGACAAACTGTTAATTTTTATGCTTCTTCTTTTACCCTGTTACTTTTTACAATGCCGTGCATGAAGAAAATAAAAGGTGGATTTGTTATACTATTTTGAATAATGTTTTTGTAAAATATTGTTTCTATAGTGACATTCAATATAATATTATTATCTTACCTTTTGTCTTGACTTTGCACATCTCCAGTATCCTATGAAGTTCTATTGGAAGTAATAATTATGTATTATAAAGAGCACTTTCTTAACATAAGACTGTACATGAATCAAATCTTGGAATAAAAATAACCTTTTATACATTTCTATATCTCAGTAGAAATGTTTTAGTTTTCCTGATAATAGATGGTTTGTTCTGCTAGATGCAGTACATTTCAACGAATAAAATGATTTGCTACATTTAACAAAAAAGACATTTGAGCGCTTTTAAAAAGACAAAGTGAAGAGCTCAGGCAAGTACGAATAATTTGGCAATATCGGTACGATTTCACTGTTTTGGTGGATTCGGTACCACATTCTTTTCGTTCTTGTTGTTATTTATTCAGCTTCAAAATATACACTGTAAAAATTATTAGGGAAATTTACTAAGAAGACTAAAAAATTTACTGGCCATACAATCACTACCTTAAAAGTATTTTATACTATGTATTTGGTATACTTACAATACTTGACGTTTAAGAGGACAAGATAGGCTAATACACCTTTTTGGCCCCTAGTTTGTAATGCCATTTAAGGACAGATGATACAAACAAATTTTTTCTTTGAAAAAAAAATATTAATATCATGTCACAAGTTTAGAAAAGTTGATGGTTCTAAGATTTTTTTCTATTAAGAACTGGACTATGAAAAAGACTTGGAAAATATTGGTAATTTTTCAATGAAAAAACAAATATAAACAAATCACATTCAGTAAAGGTTTTCAGGTGAAGACAAATTTCAGAATATGTTATCTTGGTGCTAAAACTGCATTATAAATTATATACCAATATATATAATAAAATATTTCCATTTCTAACTTTTTTCATGCAAGTCTCGTGCGCATCTGTCTATGTGGCTGACGCTTAGGAGGCCAAATATGCATGTAAATCTCATGCAGCTGCCTTTGTGTTTGACATCAGTGTGCAGGATTATTGAAATTGGCATGGAAGTCCTCGAGTAATATAAATCTATTAGTCTACATTTTTAATGCCTGAGTCTATAATTTTATTTCACAATAAAATTTAAGGAATCACTGTTTAGTTAGGAGAGTATGCCATGGCCTTCAAAAATAGTGGGAAGCATGGGCTTCGCCCGTTATGCTTAAATTATCCCATTTTTCCCACTATTGTTCATGTCCTGGCATACTCTCCAAACTAGACAGTGATTCCTTAAATATACCAAGCCAGGGGAATTTTATAAGAAAAGCTAAATGGTAAATTGGTGCAACAGTTAAAATAAAAACCTCTTAAAACCCAGCCACAGAATAAGTACGTGTATATGTTTTAAGTTGAAGAAAGTCAGAAAATCAGAAAATGTCAATTGCCGATATTATTTTCATTTAGCGGGTTTGTTAAGGCAGCACATGGATCAGAATTCGACAAATTAACACTTTTTCAAATAATATGTAACACACTTATAAATTGGAAAATTCATGGATAAAAATTTTGCTATCATTATGTATTCTATAGACTTTAATGGGACTTATACTATAGGAAGTATTACGCCAAGACGTTACGTGGTGACGTCTATAATTAGAAAATGCCTTAATGAAAATGTGAAAAGTTCAACACTACCCCCGGGATAATAAATTTCAATTTGATATTTTAAAAAACTCAAGTGCTGCTAGTCTTTCTGTCCATCACAAAAATTATTATTCAACACTTTCGGACGAAATCTTTCCAAATTTTTACATTTTCTTCATAATATCGAAAAAAAAAATGCTTCGTGTCCTGTTCACCATATAATTCTAGCAGAAAATCCCCAATCTGAATGATACTTTTGTCGTCCTGACCACTAATACGAGGGTTGTCCAAAAAGTTCGTGGACAATGATATTTTTGTGAAAATAAATGCTGCTATATAAATCTTTTATGCATCCAAATTTTTCTTATGAAAAAACGAATCAGAATGATTTAATTTTTATCGATGGAACTAGCTGTAGATCTGTAGCTCTCCAAAAAATATATTGATAAACTGGAGAGCTACAGAGCCACCCATTGAAAAAAAAACGTATATTTATTACGCACAAAAAAGTGCGCTGGGTTCTTGATTTATTTCTCCATGTTTTCAAAACTTTAATCTCAAAATCTTACTAACCGTGTGTTCCTAATATATATTCTTTCGCTGTTTCCACCAACAAATATTCCCCATAATTGTTGTTTATAGTCCCCCTGAGCCTGATATTGTAATCAGCGAACATTTTGCTTATTTATACTGCCATTTTGCTTTCAAAGATAATTCGGTCCAATATGCTTCGTTCAGATGTCAACTACAAGAGTACTTGATTGAAGATTAAGGAATTTTTTAAAATCTTTCCTTTTTTGCAATTGAGAATTTGGAATAATTAATCAAGAACTGAGCGCACTTTTTTGTGCGCAATAAATATACAGTTTTTTTTTCAATGGGTGGCACTGTAGATCTCCGGTGTATCAATATATTTTTTCGGAGAGCTATAGATCTGCAGGTAATTGGAACGTAATTTCTTTGTAAAAATCGGGGTCTTTAAAGGTCGCCGAAAGTGCGCACGCATCAATGTTAAAATGACATAAACTCTAGTATAATGTGTTTTGATAAAAAATATTTTCTATATAAGACAATTCAAAAATTAATTAAAATTTTATATAACACAAATAAAAAGGCTATAACCATTTTATGATATCATAAGTATCTCTTCCTTTATAGTCAGTACAAATACTAAACAAAAACCCGAACAAATATGTGTTAAAAATGGACAAAAAAGCGACGTCGGCCGTGCGCACGGGGCAGCGTCCAATTAAAAAATTACTTTTTACACGGTTGAGACAACGTAATCTTTAAACAACTCAAAATTATTGAAATATATTTGGAGTATCTATTCGAGATTGGTATATACGATATGTCAACGGTGTATACAAATTCAGAGACACTACAAGAATTTAAAAACATATCTAATTTACTTATAATGGAGATGCCCATTCATGACGTTGTGATAGATTTAAGTGCAGCGTCAAACTGAGCTGTGCAGTTTGGGTAAACAAGCTGTTTATTTAGATGACGCTCATAAATTTTTGTGCATTGTTCTGAACTTTAAAAATTAAATGAATTATAATCTTTACTTAAAGATTATAGCTAGCATTTGGAAGTGTGTTGTGCCTTAAAAAAGAAATGAATTGGGTGTGAATGAACATGTGTTAATTCAAATTCACAATGTTTGACGTTATAATGAAATTAGCTTAACGTTAGACTGGTCCATGCGCAGTGGCAACGCACTTCGAAAAAATTACGCACTTTCATGGTTAGGGTTAGGGTTTTTTTTCAAAGTGCGTTAAAATTGGGACAAATCAACGCACTTTGAAAATAATTTTCAAAGTCCGTAAAGTCTACATCATTATATTTTACCATGGAGACTCTTAACGCACTTTGAAAAAAAAATAATATTTAAGTCGTGGAGAAATTTTATTTGTTATTTATATTTCAAAAAAGTAAAGAATTGATTTACTCCCGTCGAAAAGAGGAGAAGACGGATATAAAATCCCTCAGTCCAAATCTTTATCTTTCCAATATATAGCTGTCGGTAGCAAATGGGAAAGGGGAGCAATAAACCTAAAAAGGGCACGCTGCATTTTCAATGTATATATCTTTCCAAAAAAGGGTAGCCCCCATCCCCTCCCCTGGCCCTTTGCCCAGTATCGATGTCTATGCTATACTCAAAGCATTCATATAATTATGTATTTACCTAACTGGTGTGACGTTGAAAACTTTCAATAATAAATGAGTTAATTAAACCAGATCATAACAAGAAATTTTAAAGTACAGTAAAACATATGAGAGAAAAGAATTTTTATAGTTTTGAACAAACAAATTGGCCCCTTTTTATTATGATAAATGCTAAGTTGCATAAAGCCGTCCTTTGTTAGTACCCCCTATACATCTTTACATCTACTTATCAATGACTAGAATTTAAAAAAGGGGGACGAATTAATGAACTGAAACAATCGCCATTCTTTTTTGAAGATCCTTTAATTTTCCTTTTTATTTTTTTTAAAACCTTAAATATTTAAAATGTCAATATATCAGGTCCTACAGTGACTTTATTATAAATAGTTATTACACCAAGATCTGTTATTTATCATACAAATTATTTGAAGGAATATTGATAAATCTTAACATTTATTCAAATATGGTAGATATTAACACACTTTAAAAAAAAATATTTTTTTCAAAGTGCGTTAGCTTGGTCCCAAATTTTAACGTACTTTGAAAAAAATTTCAAATTGCGTAATTTTTCAAAGTGCGTTGTATCAATGTGCACAATCTGGGCTCTTTTAAGACACTAATTTTTACAAAAATATTAAGTTTCTTAAATAAAAATTAAACAATTCTGACTTGATTTTTCATAAGAAATATTTTGATATACAATAGATGCATATAGAACCATTTATTTAACAAAAACGTCATTGTTCACGATTTTTTTTGGACAACCCTCGTACAAACCTACCTTCGTATATAACTTACCTTCGTATTTGACCTTAATATGTGCAACCACAAAAAAATGAGTAAAAAGCCTTATACACTGTATGTCAGTCGCACGCAGATGTAGCACAAATATTTCATGTACTTTGAAAAAAAGGTTTATGCAGTGCATTAGGAGAACTTGATATTAGAATCAAGTAGCAACATCTTTGATTCTTGAAATTTTGAGTTCTCAATCCATCTTTACATTTAAAAAATGGTACTACAGTAGGTGACAAAAAGATAAATAAAATAAAAAAATTATCAAAATTTTCGTAAACATATATACTTGTATATATTAAAAAACCAGAGGTCTCTGTTGGGACTGAAGCTCTCCTGGTCTGTACTTATAACAAAAAAAATAGCAGTTGGACGTGAAAATTTGCAACTTTAAGCAAAATAATAATGATCTTTGATTTAGTCTCTTCTTATGACAAAACTGAAATCAGACCAAAACTGTTGGAGTAGCCTTTAAAAAGGATTTTACAAAAGTTAAATTTTAGTTATAATTGCAA